TTTTGTATGGAAATCGGCATGCAAACACAGGTGTATGGTTAAAAATTGTGTTATTACCTCCGTAGATGCACGTAAATTTAATTTAAAATTATTTTTGGCACAACTAATACATTGGAATTATTTCTATTATGCTTTTGCAATATTTCGTAATATTTCGAAATATGCGCGGTTTATTGAAAACATCTTAAATTTGAGTAGGATTGCATAAGGTTTTAAAAAAATGGACTTACTAAAAACTAAGCTTAAATATCACTAATTTTAGAGCAACTTTAACGCTTATTTTTGAGTCACGTTAAATCTGTTTGGAATTCAGTTAAGTTACGTAAAATTTAAATTCAGTTTAGAGTAAATACACTTTTAACTAAACTGAGTGAAATCCATTTAGTTAGTTCCAGTGTTGAGAAAAAATCAAAAAATCAAATCTCACCAAAGCCCACGATCACGCTTGATCTTGATAGACAAAAATCAACAGGCAAGCAACTGCGGATGATATTACAAGCAGGGGTTGAAACAGTTGACGTTTTTTACTACACTCGCTTCGTTGTCGTGCGCGACAGTCTGTTTGTATTCGAACACTCATGCTCTACCGTCGTCTCTCTCACGCAACACGAGCGGTAGAATAACATTCGAGCTAAAAGAAAATTATCAAAATAGCTATCATATGACATATGTGATTTCGTTGTAATTCCTTAATTTGGTGTAAATCAAACCATTTCTGATCAGAAATATTATTACAAGGACATCATTACTTGCTATTTTCAGAATTCACACAAGCACAACATCGGCAGCTCTTATAATGAGAAAAACTAAAATACATACATTCGTGACGGTCTTCGGCGACAGTGTCATATGACAGAGCCTGTCGTATGACATTTGAGTTTGGTACTGTACTATGATAGCTTGTTTTGCAATTGTCGGAGGCAAAGGCAGTCAATTATCACAGAAAATGTGTCGACTACCGTGACCGCTTACAAGACTGATTACAAGCTTTGATGTCGTAGCTGCGAATATCAAGCTATTAACACCCACCAGCTACAATTCTAACTAAACCGTGATGAGTTTGAGATTCATGATTTTTACTTTACATCCGAACGCGACCCGAAGGTATAGCTTCGTGGCTGCCATCGGTGAAGAGTAAAGAGCGATAGCAAATAATACTTTCTCTTTCTAAGAAAACGAGGTGAAACGGAATCATTTTTGTGCAGAGATGCCAGATTTTTTTCTATGCAATTCCGTAGACTTATTCAAATCTACGGATTTCTTCGGATTTTTTTTGGTCGAAGCTGTTATTTTTTTAGCTCTAATGTGATACTTTACGTTAAATGGTAAATCGATGAAATAACTTTTGAAAACAAAAAAATACTAGGGACAGCCCTCTGGGGTTGTACGAATGGTGACGTCGGACTACGTAGTCTCTATATAATAAATGTTATTTGTTAACTGCAGCAGAACTTGTGTTTTGTGTAGGAATAGGAATTTGAGTGGGGTTCTCTCTGTTTATACTCTTTAGTATGAATATGATTGCCCTGAAAAGAAGCTTTTGATATGAATTTAAGTTGGGACATATTCAGAAATTTAGCTCTTTTGGGAAATCTTGGTGTCCCTGAAAAGGGCCGATAGTAGTACTGGCATGAATAGCATGATACTGTTGCACCTGTAGTGTTTGGCATATTTTTACTGATTGCTTCCCGGGGATCCTTGTTCAGCCATAGCAAGATGTGCGCGTGAGGACTTCCACGGTGCTGAAATTCAATCGTGTCAACCAGCTTGTTGAATTACACGCAGCACGTGACTGGATCATCATTCATCAGAGTTGCTCTTTGTAGTGCAGTCAATTCCTGGATAGGATCTGTTAAGTCATTGCCATTGTGTCGTTCTGACAACCGATGTAAGAGATTCAACAAATGGGCCACTTCATCTCACTTGCACTGAGTGTGAGGAACATCGTAGGCTTTCCCAATTGTCGCATCATGGTGAACAAATTTCTCTTCCTTTGTTGCCAATACTGTACTGAATTCGGTACTGATTTGAGGAAGGATAGATTTCGCTCAATGCACTGCTCCATGAATAATGCGGTCCTTAAGGTCCACGTGTAATGTTTTCGGTCGCCGTGCACTTAAAAGTACATTGCAAGCCTTCAGAAACTCTAAGCCGAAGAACTTTCATTGTCATGTACAACAAATGTGGTTTGGCCACACGCCTGTCTTGACGACGAGTTTCTCTGGATGCCATCATGAAATATGTCACCCGAACCACTGGCTTGAATTTCCGTAGATGGCCGAAACAAATGGCAGGAAAAGCTATCTTTTCACCGTGCTCGTCATATATTAAAGACAGAGGAACCCTGTTTTGCGCGGGAGCTATCTCCAGACATTTGTTCTCATTCTAAAGGAGCGTTTCCTGTTGCCCAAGCAGCGATTCTGTCTCATTATCCACGGCAATGGTTTCCAGCTCAATTTGAGGATCCACTACAGGGGTTTCAAGACCATCTATGGCGATCTGATCAATTGTGATCCCGTAGCGGTGGTACAGTGCTGTCGTACTCTAATAAGAAAGCCACGCTTTAATCGTAGTTTCCTTTATAAAGCCGGACAAGTACGACGACTTATGGATTACATGCTTTTTGATGAACACGTTGAAGGCCTGATCATCATCGAGCTGACGGGGAAGAGAGCGTGGTCTCTCTTACATAACGCAAACGGTAGAACAACATTCGAGCAAAAAGAAAATTATCAAATAACTATTATATGACATATGCGATTTCGTTCTAATTCCTCAATTTGGTGTAAATTAAACCATTTCTGATCAAAAAAGGTTATTATTATGACATCGTTGCTTGCACAAGCAAAACATCAGCAGCTCTTATTATGAGAAAAACTAAAATACTTACATCCGTGATGGTCTTCGGCGACAGTGTCGTATGACATTTTAGTTTGGTACTGTAATTTGAAAGCTTGTTTTGCAAGTGTCGGAAGCAAAGGCAGTCGATTATCACAGAAAATGTGTCGACTACGGTGACCGCTTACAAGACTGGTCTCGACATGACTTTTATTCGCCTTCACACGGCACCGTCGAAAATTTTTCTCTTCATGCAAAGATTGACTGTGTATTAGGTATATTATGAGAACATTCGACGGAGTGAAGAGATAGTACGAAGGCCGCCATGTTTCACGCACAGTCTGACGTTCGTTTACTCAAAAAGCGGATAAGTGAGCAAGAAAACGGTTGACAAGTTGTAGAGGTGTATTTTATTTTATGCTTCTTTGCCTTCAGAATCAGATTGTAAAGTTCGATTCTGAAAAAAATCCGTAGAAACTGTACCGAATTCCGTAGATTTTGCCTACGGATCCGTATTTCCGCAAAAAATTGTAAAATCCGTATCTCTGGCATCTCTGTTTTTGTGTCGAGTCATCTTTCTGCTTCATTTTAACATGTTGTGAATAGTCTCGGTGTCTCGGGGCCTCTCTTAGCTCAGTCGGTAAAGGCGCAGCTACAAAGCAAGACCATGCTGGAGGTGGCTGGGTTCTTTTCCCGGTCCGGTCTAGGAATTTTTCGGGTAGGAAAATTTCTCGACTTCCCTGGGCATAGAAGTATGATTGGACTTGCCACACAATTACACCAATGCAAAAATGGTACAGGCATCGAAAGCTCTCAATTAATAACTGTGGAAGTGCATCTTAGAACACTGAGTTGAGAGCACGCAATAAGCTAATATGCGATATGCAATAAGCTTGAAATGCGAAGAAGAAGAAGGACAGTCTCGCAATATCAAAGGAGCTTGTGAAATCAATATCAAGCAAAGTGCTGGTAAATATCATGTCCGTCATGTGAGAATGACAAAACAGGTCCTATCACTATCATGAGATGAAGCTATATGTCATGAGCATTTCTGTAATTTTTTTCTCATATTTTTTGAAAACCAAATTACTTGTTAATTTAGTTGAATTGCCACAAGCAACAGTATGTAATCGTGAGAGTGAAAATATTTAAAAAATTACTGCAGCACAAGTAACATATTTATTAACACTACGAACACGATGCCTCTGGTAAAATGTGTAACGGCAAATTGACAATGTTTGGAAAATTATTGATCAGTAAGTTATCCATAAATTTTAAATCTACTGATACCAAAAAAAAATCTTTAGTAATAAATGGCTGAGCTATGATTTTTCAAACATTGCAAGTTGGCCGTTACACATTTTACTGGAGGCATCGTGTTCGGAGTGTTAATAAATTATAAGCTCGTTATTACATTTTTAACAACACTGTCACGTTCTGTAATGACAAAAAAAATCGATAAGGATTTAGCGAAAATCTCTGCTACTGTATTTTCGTTTTATGATAGTGACAGAGCCTCCTCTGTAAATATCGCGTGGAATTTTTCATTGACAATGATATTTTCTAGCACTGATCCAGCATGATACTTTGTTCCAATATCATGCGTGGTATTGAGAGCGTATGGAAGTGGAGAAATACCATTTGATTGATGATTTTACCAACACTGGATAGTTCTAAGGTTCGCCAGAGGGCTATTTGTTAATATCTATGGAAATGTGTCGTTTTTCGACACATTTCGATAGACAGCAATGTTTGCACAAAAAGTAATAAAGTGAATTTGCTTAGTTTTAAGAAATATTAACATATAACTGAATGCTGGATATGTTGAAGTCAATAGCACTGAAATAGAGCCATCTATTAAAATATGATGTACGGTGTCCTATTGTCGGAGAACCCCACTTTAAGACGTGAGGACCCCAATCTAAAGCCTTAAATGTGGCTCTTCGCTTCAAATTCGTATCGATTCGAGATGTGTTTCCAGAAACGGACACTAAATTTCAAAGTTCTCCAAATATTCTCCTTTATTCAGTCTTTTTCAGTATAGTACATCGACGTAGCATGTATACAAAATCTAATAAAGAGTAAGAAAAACAAAAACAAAATCCCAACCAAAAGCAAACGTCCCGCGTCCTCCCTCGCCCCATTCCCCTACGGCAACTCACCAGACTTGAGCGTTTTGATGGCAACCGGCGTCGTGTTGTTCCACAGTCCTTCCCAAACATCGCCAAACTGGCCGGAGCCCAACTTGCGCACAAACTTGAGTGACGTCCGGTCGATTTCCCACTGGTCTCTGGTGCGGTGCGACAGTCCATCGGTGACCGGTTTTTCAATCTGTATGAGAGTTTGGGAAGAAAGAACGAAAGGTAACGTGTGGGAAATTAGTTTCGTTTGAATACAGGGTTAAAGGAGAATACTGTCTCGGGAAATAATTGGATGCCATTAGTAGTGATAGGCTGATTCTATTGCCTTTGCTATTTGATGAGAAACGTACTAAGGAACGAATGTAGCGTGAGAGTGGGTGGCGGGGTGAACGAACTGGACATCTACAACCGAATCAAAACAAAGATCTGATTTGGAATGCAAGCAGTGCACAAGGCTCTCACATCAGGCGGGAATTTCCATGCTTGGATAAAAACACCTTAACAGAGTCTGAAATTGAATGTTTTTATTTGTTTTGTTTTTCTCAATTCAACCACGCCGATCGGATCGGAAGATATTTGATCCGGTGCGTCATCGTACCACGGATTTCTGCCGAAACACGTGACTGAATTTATAACGGAATCAACTGCGGGTGGAGGAGGATGATGCTCCTACGACCGATGCACACTGGGGATAGAAATACAAAAAAGGCTCAAAATTCAACAACTCCAGTTCTCGCTGGAAAAACATGCTCAAATTATTGCTTGTTATAGGACAAAATGTCAGGCATCGAATGAAATTGGTTTCATCTTGGGGTTTGTTGAATTTTGAGATATTTTTACGTTTTATTTCCCCAGTGTGCGATGGATCGATGGATGGTAAACAGCAGAATCACCTGACTGAGAGCCGTCGGGCGAACGATTTACATAAAATGTGTGAGCTGAGCACAGAAAATGCCATAAAACCACCTGATTTAGTGCCATCATCGGAGAGCTCAGCAGTCAGAGAGCAGTTAGCCATTTTTGTTAAGATGCATTCTAGCAAGAAATACAGAAAACTGTGCCATCAAGCAGAAGGAGATACAACCGAGTGATATAGACGGCGAAGCCCGTAGTATGAACAAAGATATTGGAATTATTCAAATGATTTCGACTCACACCATGAGCTCGCAACGGACGGAGTGTGAAACTAGGAAGAAAGTCGTTTAAATGATAATCATTTGCATTAGTCGGAATGCTGGACGCAATTCGCTTCCTGTACAGCGCTCGCGTTGGCAATATTCTAATTCTGCGCCAGCGTCGTGGTGTTGCTTTGAATGGAGGAAGAAAGAACGATGTTTGTCGTAGTTCTTTGTAGCTGTCGTACGAGACAATTTGATTATGAAGCTGATTATTACATTCGCAATTGACAATGGCATTGTTCGAACGAGGCAGTTCGAACCTTCCGACAAACACATTTCAGAATCTGTTCATGCGGTGAAACATTACAAATTCTGCAAACTGTTTATGCAAATCTGTAATAGAATCTTACATATCCCGGTTGAGTGATAGATAATGTTGGCGCCTTTGGCCTTTGTAAACTACTTTGGTGTTTTAAGTCAATTTTGGCGTTATTACGATTATTTAGGACTTTTCGAGCCATTTCTTGGATGAAAAGATAAACGGTAGTAAGTACTTTCGTAAACAATGCAAGACAAAAGACTCACCATTAACTGGATATGGTGTAGTCTTTTAGGACATTGATAGAATCCAGATTGATAGAATCCACAAATGACCGCTATCTTGGCTGATTTTACAAGCCAAATCGTCCATGACAAAGGCCATTTGTGAATTTTATCAAACATGTTCTTAAAGGACTGACATAGTATTGCGGAAAAATTTCATCACTAAGACAGCAGCATTGTTCCTGAATTTGATTCTGCGTTCGAAATCTTCAAAATTTCCTGTTCTTTTACTAGCTTCAAAATTCTCTCAAAACTCTTTAAAGGATTTTATTGGAATGTACTCAAGAATTTCCTTTAAAATTATTTCCTTTCAGAGTTCTTTTCAGAATTCTATTGAAGTAAATTTTAGATTCTCGCTGAGGGTCCCTCCCAAGTAACAATCTAAATGCTTGGAAGATTTATTCTTATTTTATCATTGTTTTATCATAGCATCCCTTCCAGCCTGTGGTTGTATTACGGTTTTGTGTGCTTGTCATAAAATCAGGCCGTCAAGTCGTCTATAAAACTGTTTTATGACTACTAAATTAAAACTCAGACTTCATAGTTTTAACGGTAGCTATAAGGTGGTTTTGCATCACTACTTATAACTGAAGAATAAAACCAAAACAAAACATACAATTATGTTTTATGGTACACTTTTTATGACCGATATAAAACTTGAAGCAGTCTTAGACCTTCATTAAAGCTTCATTACAACTATCATCTTTATCAGAGGCCTAAGATTCACAGATAAGAAATATACTGCTACAACAAAAAATACTCTGAAATATTTTGTCATTATAAAAAACAAATCTATTCAGATATATGAAATGAAAACCCCTTCAGTGCTTCTGAACACGATGAAGATGAGACGATCGACAATATGAAACTCTTGGAGGAACTACAGTTATACGATCCCTACATAAGGCACAGTGCGGTGAAGGAGCTCTTAAAAATATTGAACAAGCGGCTTTCCGATAAACTTCCGAAAGATCCACGAACCCTTCTTAAAGCAACGCCGACAGTTTCACTAAATCCGTTTGGAGATGGCCAGTATTGACATCACGGCTTTAAACCTTGTATTGAAAAAGCTTTTAGTGGATCCAATAAGCATTTCTTACATCTTTATTACAAGCGAAAATAGGAGGATCGCTTGGAATGTTGACTTTTTGACAGGTGGTCATGGTTTTTGTTTTGTTTTGATTCGCTGTACCGAATAAAACCAGCAAGCTAGTTATATAGCTTAAATATAACTTAACGCTCTCAATTTGGACTACGAAATGCTAAGATACAACCATTAGGTTTATGTTATGCTATAGAATTCCAATCTAGGAGAATATGTTATATTGAGGTATTTTTAAGGAGTAGCAAGTTATAACGAAAAAAAATGTCGCCGTATGAACAAATTTCACACAGTATGAATAATTACGCTTTAATTGATAGGCAATAAAACACTTTCATACATCTATGTATAATTCAATAATATGTGACTGGTTATTGCTCAACAGTAGTAACAGTTTTGTACTAAATAGATAATCTTTGAATGACTCTTTAATGCATGGTGCTAATGCAGACAAATTAAAAATATCCCTATATTTTAGTATTCATATGGCGCACTAAATTTATGCTCCTATTTGGTATAATAATCACCATAAATATAGCACGTCATGCTGTGAAGCATATACAGATTGGTTTAAAATTATAATAAAGTCGTCTTATTTTCAATGTACAATAATATCAGCCATTATTACCAACTGACAAGGATCATGATTTCACATCAAACATCGAAAGAATAAAACCACAATAAAATATTTCTCAATATTAACTATCATCCAAAAACCCCAACTTAAAACCTTCAAAGTTGTCAAAATGTTTTGCGTATCATGTTTTATCAACTTCTTCAGGAGCGATTTATGCGGTTGTAATATAGTTTTATGGTAGTCATTAGAAGGCTGTTAAAACTTTCTGACCTGGAGGAGGTTTTATGTTTTCATTTTTAACAATCACGTCTAGAGTGTGATAAAACTGACATAAATCCTATGCTCCTAAAGTAGTTCGCATATCAAGTTTTAATGACTGCATTAAAACTGGGCCAATTGGCCATGACATGGCTGTATTGCGGTTCTCAGGAGATTGTTAAAGCAATGTGGTCGTCAGTGGAGGTTTTATAATTTGGTAATATCAACTGCTATAAAACTTAAATAAAACAAAAATTGTTGCTTGGGCTTGAACATTTATTTATAGCAGTCCAGAAATTTGCTGCAGGATACTCCAAAAAATCATGAAATCCATCCTTCTATAATAATATTTTTAATCCGCTTGAATTCTCCAAAGAATCATCATGCAATCCACCTTAGAATTATCTTAAAAAAATTACTCAGAATTATATGGGAGTTCTCCTCTAAATTCTTCTCAAACATCTCTAGAAATTCCCTTGGAATTATCCCTTGAAACTCATCTCAATTGTACGCTCAAAATTCTTTGTCTTGGGTATTTTTCACGGATCCTGGAGTCCGCTTCACAATTATCATGGAATTTTCCACAGAGCTGCTTAAAAAATCTACTCTGAATTTGTGCGTTGGACTTGGAGTTCTAGTCAAAACTGTTTCGGAGTTCTTCCCAAAACTCCAATGGATTTTTTTTTATATCTTGATTCTAAAAATATCCTCAACATTAATTTGAAAAAAAAACTATTTATAATTCCCTTAATAGTTCTTCAAAGTGACTGTATACTGAAAATCTGACTTTTCCCGTTTTTTTCGATTGTCCGGTTAACTGGTCACTAGGGTGGGTCAAGTTTGTATGGTGGATCACAACATCCTGTTATCCACTGCTCTTCCGATGTATACTGAGGTCCCCGACAACGCGGTGTCAAATTTGAATGAATTTGGTTATGATCTAGATTTGCGGGAGATTTTTTTAGTGTTGTATGGGAAACGAAATGAACCTATTCATTTGCTTGTCAAAAACTTAAATATTGGTAAAATTTCACCAAATACTTGGGAACACTATGCAGATCAACTTTGTCGAAGATTGCTAATCGATTGGACTTTTGAGAAAAAAAGTTATTATTATATTAATTTAGACCATATGCTCCACGCATACCGTTGGAAGCGAACCAGCCTCAGGCTGAAAGTCTCCCTAATAAAGATAAATCAATCAATCCATGCATACCTACAGGCGTATATACAGTGTATCTCAAAATTGAGCGTACAGAAACACCAAGGGCTGGTAGCCATCACTGCTGTCAAAAATAGTGATTTTAGTGACCATGTTGAAGAAATAAGTGACTAAATAGTGACTCATAGTTGTAAAAATAGTAACTAAAAAGTGACCCTGAATTGAATTAAAAGTAAATTGTATTGAAAACTCTTAGGAATTTCTGAGAAGCACAACTCCTGTGAACTTCAAAGGAAAATTCCAAGGGCATTCTGAGGATAGTTTCATAAAGTTTGTGGGAGAAAACAAATTCGGAGCATAAGTCATTGGA